ACACACCGTCTGCCAAGTGCTTTTATTTCCACAGAGACAGAAAGATAATATACTTAGCGTGCAAGAGTCCAACAGAAATAATATTCCTCTCAGCAGTTTCGGACGAGGCTTTAGTGACTATCCAAGGTTTATTTTTGTTCGTCACAGGGATCACTGGCCACCACCCTCTATTATATAGTCTCTGGGGTGTGGTCCAGTGACTCAGTTCTAATCCCTAGCACACCTCCTGAGCTGCTGCAATCATTTATCATGCCTTCGGAGGCGTGCATCCAGGAATGACGTCTCTCCCTCACTCTCATCCGAGACACCTGTCTCCCGGCTAATCTCCTCTCCCTCGGCCGGCTCCTGAGACAGTGCCAGAGGGGAGGGGCCTGGAGAGGGAGGCCTGGCTGACTCCTCTTCCTCATGCTCGGAGCTTTCTTCCTCCGATGGGACAGGCTCAGAGGGCGGGGCCACAATAGGTTTACCATGAGTTTGTATCTATTGTGTGCTCGTGTATTGTTGTGGTTGAAGCTGAAGTATTCATTGACAGGTAGGACATTGTAGCAGATGATTTTATGAGCTATGCTTAGGTCATACCGAAGGCGGTGTAGTTCTAAATTTTCTAAGTCTGGTGGCATAAGGTATTTTGTTGCGAGCGGAGGAGTGGAGGACTCTTCTTGTGAAATATTTCTGGATACATTCAATTGTATTAATGTCCAATATGCAGTGCAGGTTCCAGACAGATGAGCTGTATTTGAAAATTGGTCTAGCAAATGTTTTGTATGCTCTGGTTAGTAGTATAATATTACCGGAGAAGACGCTACGTAAGATTAGGTTTACAACCCTTAATGCCTTTTTGGCAATGTTGTTACAATGGGCTTTGGCACTTAGATCATTTGATATGAGTATTCCAAGGTCCTTGACAGAGTGAGGGTCGTCTGTTAGGTCATATCCGCCCAGGTTATATTTTGTGTTCTGATTTTTTTTTTTTGCCAATGTGTAAAACAGAGCATTTGTTGGTTAAGATTTGGAGTTGCCAATTGTTTGACCATTCCTTTAAGGCTTTATCTTGGCTGAGTGATGATGCTATAAGGGATGAGAGACCAGATCGGAATCAGAATTTGCCTCTTTAAATCTATCCAGTAGGGTGAGATGAACCAGATATTTCCTCCCCAAAATTTGTTTCAACCAAAATTCAAGTTAGCTCAGTTTCATGTGGGCTCCAAGAGAAATGCAAACAAATTCTAGTGAAATGAGGACATAAGCATAGAACATGGAACTTCAGAACTGGATTGTAGGTACCTTTTGGGGAGTCCATCATAACTGTGAATGGTCACTAAGAGAAAAGTTGTAAGTTGAAGACTACCTGTAGAAAGCTCACAAAGTTGATTATTCCACAGGATGAAGAATTGAAGTAGATGTCTAGGCACTTGAAATCTTTAACTTCCTCATTTGGTCTTTTGTTATCTTCCCATTTAATAGCAGACTTAAAACAGTTTCCAAAGAAAATTGGAGGAGCCTTGGCTTTTGTGAAATTGACTTCAATAAATTGCTTAGAACAATAGGACACTAAATCAGCTAAGCGTCTGTAAAAGCGCACCTGGGATACAGGTAAAATGGCCAGGTCTTTTGCATTCAAGAGAATTGAAATAGGACAGTGGGCAAGAGAGGGTGAAATTCTGGTTTAGAAAGGGTCACAATCATGTCATTTATATAAAACAGTGATGGCTAACTTTTTTGCCATCGCATGCCAGGAGGGGGGGTGCAGGGGAGTCGTGCACGCATGTGCCCACACCCATAATTTTATGTGCCCGTCCCCACGCATACACACGTGACCCCCCTCCCCATGCTCCTGGCACGCGATGGCCCGATAGGCCCATTTTTCTCTCTCAACTGATTCCAGAGCCTCTCTAGGAATCTGGGGAGGGTGAAAATGGTCCCCCCCCCCCCCCCCCCCGGAGACCCTCCGGAGGCCAGAAACGGTCCATTTGCCAACTTCTGGTGGGCCCAGAAGGCCTGAAAATCAGCTGGCCAGCGCACACATGCGCGCCAGAGCTGAGCTTGCATGCCCACTGATATGGCTACGCGTGCCACCTATGGCATGCGTGCCATAGGTTTGCCATCACAGGTATAGAAGTTGAAAAAAAGAGTCACAGATAGAAACAGGAGAGGTTAAATCACTATTAAAGTTGCCTATAATTTGCATTCTGTTTTGATATAACAAAATTATCAGCTTGAGAAAGTGACAATCAATGGATGCTAATTTCCTCCCTAGTCTCTCATGAGAAATAGAGGAATAGAGTCAAAAGCTGCCCTTAAGTCAATATAAGCAGCATAACGGGTGCCATGAATAAGGATAGAGTATTTTTCAGCTAGTCCTCAACTTATGACACAATTGGGACTGAAACATCTGTTGCTAAGCAATGTGGTCATTAAGTGAGTTGTGCCCAATTTACAACCTTTTTTGCTGTGGTTGTTAAGTGAATTACTACAGTTGTCAAGCATATCACTGGGGTTGTTGTATAAATCCGGTTTCCTCCATTGACTTTGCTTGTTGGACGCCCCATGAGAAGGTCATAAGTGGCATTCACATGAATCCAGGATGCTGCAATCATTGTAAATGCATGCTGGTTGCCAAGCACCCAAATTTTGATCACATGTCTGCAGGGACACTGCAGCATTTATACTGCAAGGACTGATCATAAGTCACTTTTTCAGCACTGTTGTAACTTTAGTCATTAAACAAATGGTTATAAATCAAGGAAATTACATATTAATCCATTGTAGAATATCCTGATCTAAAACCCACTTGTATAGGAGTCAAGATTTTCCCTCAGTACATCCAATCTAAATGTTTGCAGTATAAAAACCAGGCATAGAGTTTGCTAATTACTGACACTAAAATAATTGGGCAACACATAGCTGAATTTTGCCTATTGTTTTTCTTGTATACTGGGAGTGTATTAGAATTAAGCCATTCTTTGGCGAGCAAAAAAGTATAATTATTGGCACTAAATAGGTGATTTCTAACCCCGAGGGGAAAAATGAAAATGGAGAACATATATGTTCATAAAGCCTGGGTTATCTAAGGATTACCAGTACTTTTTATTCTCTAGGTTTAGTCATTCAATTTTGTGGATTTTTTTTTAAAGTCAAAGTGTTCATTGTGATATAAATTGAATTACACTCATATACACTAAAATAGCTATAATTCTATGCATTAGTCTTCAACTTTTAACATTTTCAGGTTTTTTTTTTTTTTTAAATACTCTGTTTTTATGTCTTCTTGTCTGACATAAAATTCTGGTTACCATGTTCAATGTTTCAAGTTACAACAAAGTGAATAGTATAAACCTCCAAATCTGATAGAGTTAGGTGTAGAGAACATTTTTGAAAAGTGTGATCAAGTACTATATGTGATGCTTCATTAACATAGAAGGACTTTCTATTTTCACAGATTTATGTATAAGCATATCTCAAATGGTTGAGTGATTGTAATATAAGACATCTGTTCCAATGAAAGGCTAAGTTTTACTTGTTATTGCAACCTCAATGTGAGTGGATCTTCCAAGGAATTTTTGACAGGATTAATTAACATGCTGATCAGGGGTGGGTTCTACTTACCTTTACTATCGGTTCGCAACGGGATTGCGCGTGCGCGTTCGCTTCGCTCGAGCACATGCTTTGCTTCTGCGCATGCGCAGATCGCTTCTGATGACAGCAGGGTCAGTGGGCGGAGCCTCCCACCAGTTTTACTACCGGTTCTATAGAACCAGTCCAAACCGCGGGCTACCCATCACTGATGCAGATGCTTCCACAACCCAATTGTTAATTCACACCTTTCAGTTTCATATCAGACATGGGCTGAGTTCAAAGAACACACTGTGCTATGGTTTGATTAACAAAGATTGTTTTGGTTAATCATAATTAGCTGGACTAATATACCATATTAAGCCATAGGTCATGATTACCAAACACAGTGACTGAATTCATACCTCATGTTATGCCAAATGGATGAATCTAGCCATGTTCTCTCTTTTTCTCTTTCTCTCTCTCCCTTCCTCCCTTAGTAACATTCCTAGTGTAAAGTGGAAAATAACTTCATGGAACCGGTAACTATACTTACAAGTTTATTTTAGTGTGTATGTTTTGACCTGTACTGAATTCAAGAGAGTTTTCAGAAATTTAAATATGCCATAAACAAAGCTTCTAAAATTGTTGAGTAGATATAACAATTTGCCTCAGCCTTTCCCAATCTACCACCCAAACAGGATGGCAATTTGGGACAATTTTCATCCTGTTTGGTTAAATCCTTTCAAAATAATGAAATTGCCTCTGATGTGAGATTGAAAAGGAGCTCAAATGAGAGAAGGACGAAAAATACAAAAAAAAAAAAAAAGGGAATTAGGCCCACATGTATAGTATATGAAAGTGCTTTCTCTGGCTTCAGAAAGACTGATTTTTCAATTGCAATATTTTTCCAACAAATATCTATTATCAAGGACATGTGCTAGCAATGATATAGAATTGACAACAGTGTGCTTTTCAAAGTTGACCCAAGAAACATACAAGTCTAGAGACTACACTGTTCATAAATTTGAAGGGGCTGGATTAAAACTAACTGCTGGAATCAAGAAATAAATTATGTAAATCTAAGCTTTCGAGTCTGTGGAATGAGAAAAGAAAAAAAAGAAGCAGCAAGATCACAATACATGAAAGTATGAATGACTGCTGTTGTGAAAATGGTCCAAGCTCATCCCACACTATACAGAAGACACTCCAAAAGTCAGACAGTATTTGACTTTAAGGCTTTGCCTGCTGGACAGAGAATATGAGGACAAAAAGGAGAATATGTCCTCCTTTGGCTGGATGCCAGATAGCCCCACCTGAACTCTATATTTGCCTTTGGTGCAAAAATATCGGAATGAAGGAGCGCATTTGCATACCTAAGGTTAAACTGTATGTATGTTGAATTAAATTAATTTAAATGAATAAAACTAAACCTGGACAGAACTCAGACTGTGAAAGCAATAGGCTTTATCTGTTTTATTAGGGATTAATTACATTAACAATAACAATTATAGAAATACAATCTTATATTGTAATAACAGTTAGTTAGTTACACAGCTTTGAAGGATTCATCGTATTTGGCAAAGCAAACAACGAAAGAGTTATACTCATGTAAATATTCACAACACTATTTAAATAAACTCTTTCATCCTGCCCACCAAACTACATAAGCAACTTTCTCCTTTTTATGCAACTCAGAATTCCTGAAGGAGCCTCAAATCTTACTTGCCTTCAAATGATCCATTAACATAGAGAGCAAGTGTTTGCACGTCTGTAATGTTGATTGTATTGGCACTCATATTGTGAGCTGCAATCTTCAGATACACAGTTCAGCTTTACGTTTCAAGCCAGCACAATTCAAGCCAGACTAAGTTTTGATTGACCACAAAAGGGAATAATGAATTTAATCCCAATAAACACATTATGAGACACAGAGCTTTCACAATTTAATTTTCACAAATATGTTACCCATAAGGAAAGTAATTGTTAAGACCAGTCTTCCATAAAGCTTTTACCATCTTCTTGATTTCAACAGAAAAAAACTAATCTTTGAGGCTTGCAATCAGAGTTGGTATTCAGCCGGTTCAGACCAGTTCAGGTGAATCGGTAGCAGAAATTTTGAGTAGTTCAGAGAACCAGCAAATACCACCTCTGGCTGGCCCTGCCCTCCATCCCCTGCTGTTCCCTGTCCGATATTCCCTTGTTTTTTAGCTCAGCTGATTCGCATAGCAGAGCGGATTGTCACGCCTCAGCTGAGCTAAACAACAGCTCAGCTCACCAGCGCTGACACCGAGGGCAATCTTTGAGTGCTGCGCATGCGTGCAAAGCACGCGTTAAGCAAAGCACGCTCTCACAGAACTGGTAGGAAAAGATTTGGAATCCCACCACTGCTTGCAATAAATGCTAAATTAGTAACCCAGAGATGAAGGGGAGACCTATCTATATCTGAGTCAGAAGAACTGAATGTGGGTAAAGCTAATTGGTAACAGTAAAAAAGTTGTTTAGTCTATGTTTTAGCTCTGAATAAGATTGCGGCCATAAATTAAAATCTCTGAATGCTTAATAGAAAAGGAAATCCTACTGTATTCATTGGACCTGCTGGCAAATATGTATAGGATTCAGAATTAAGGCTGGTGCCATATTCAACAGCTATTGCCTGTATTATTGTTACTCTATTGCTGGAATTAGGATTTCAGTCTAGACAATACATATACTAATTTTTATCCCCCATACATTTTCAGTTCATTGATGAATAAATATTTTGTGCAGGACATATAGAATTGAGAATGTTAAAAAATAAGATATATGTGTTTTTCAATATATATACGTAAGCTCCAGCAATATGCAAGTTCCAACTATATTTTACATTCAAGGATTCATGATACATTTAGTATTCAGAAGATATTCTAAAAATCATGTACATTGTACACAGTTTCTTACTGAAATTCAATCTTTTCCCAAAGATGCACAAACCGGATCTTCTTTTTTAAAAATTACCATTTCCTCTGCAAGAGATCTACTGTTTTAAAGTGGTTTGTGGAACATTCACTATTAGACGAAAGCATGGGTTAGAAATCTAACCCACATAGGCTAATATCAGCGAGGATTTAGCCATTTCATGATTGGAGAGTGAATGTCTTTTTCCTTCACAAAATCCTCTTCTACGGAATTACCATCGCCAGATCCCATGTCATTCTCTGAAAGTTTAAATGAGAAAAAAGGGGGATTAGTTTTTTTTTAAATCAAGATGCAAATTTTTAACTAACTTATTGTCTGAATCAAGAACTTTAAATATTATGTCCATTTGCAACACATTATGATGTTCTTTCATGCTGGCCACATGATGAGTGTCTCTCGGACAATACCAACTCCCTAGGCCAGTGATGGTGAACCTTTTTGGCACCGAGTGCCGAAAAAGGAGTGCATGTGCACACATGCGGCACCAAGTGCCAAAAAGGGAGCACACACACGAGCGCACTCATCAGGGCCGCAACCAGGAAGAAGAGCTGCCCAGGGGACATGCAGACACCGAATAAGGTACTTCCAGTTTATGGCACTGCCACATGCACAAAGGCCAGCTGATCGTCGAATGTGCATGTGCGCCAGAAACCAGGAAGAGAAATGGGCGACGCCGCACGTGCCAGGCAACATGGCTCCGCATGCAACTTTGGGCACGCGTGCCATAGGTTCACCATCACAGCCCTCGGCTGAGAATCAGAGATGAGCACCATCCCCCTGAATGGTCTCAACTGGAGAGAGAAACTTTTAAACCAGTGGCCCCCAACCTTTTGGGCGCTAGGGACTGGTTTCATGGGGAAAGGGTTTTCTGCGGACTGGAAGGGGCATGGCTTTGTATATTGCCGGCATCCCGCGAATGAGGCTTCACTTGTTTGCGTGGCCTGGTTGCTGGCAACATTCGGTGTATAAGACACACTGCAATTTTCACCCACTTTTAGGGGAGGGAGTGCGTCTTATACTCTGAAAAGTACAGTAATTAAGATAATCAAACATTTTTAATTGATTATGTGCCATCAAGTCATTGTTGACTTTTAAGTGTTTGTATCGATATGGTTATCTTGGTGAAAATATAGAACTGGTTTACTTATGCCTCCTCCTCCCACAGAGTATGAATTGATGCCTTTGCCAGTGTCAGTAAACTGACCATTTGCCTCCATCATCTTCCTAAATCACTGCCTCCATCATCTTCCATGATCATTTGCCTCCATCATCTTCCTAAATCACTGCTGCCAATTTAGATTTAGCAGGGCAAATGTGAGAGCCTTAACATCTTGGGTGACCCTGCTGGGAATATATACTTTTGGTATACGCTCCAGCATTCTTTGCTCATCCTCCTAGGAATATGCTGCTGCCATAATGGGGCAGCACAGCAGGAGTTGGGAGGTCAGGGGAATAATCAGGGAAGTAGTAATCATTCTTTGATTACAACAACAGTATTACTAAAGCACCATGCCTCATGCCTATTTAGTTTCAACAGTCTTCTCTGTGTGCATTTATTGAATTCTGAGCCAATAAATAATTACCGGGGTCAAATGTTTCTTGAAACAAAGCATCAGGGCATTGTCATCTACCAGGATAACAATGGGGTATGTATAATACGACTGTGATACACAACTCAATTAATTCAATACAATTTGCGAATGAGAATACCCTTGGCATGAACAAATCTTCAAATGCTTTATACCAGGGGTGTCAAACTCAATTTCATTGAGGGCTGCATCAGGGCTGTGGTTGACCTCGGTGGGGTGGGGGGGCAACTGGGTGGGTATGGCCAACTGGGTGGGGGTGGGTATAGCCAACTGGGATGTTTCCTCTTTGCATTGGCTAGACTGGGCCATAGCTACGTTGGCCTGATCTTTCCTCTTTGAATTGGGTAGACCAGGAGGGTCCCGCACACCGGATCTGACCACATCATGGGCCATATCCAGCCCATGGGCCTTGAGTTTAACACCCCTGCTTTATACCCTTAAGAAATATATGCAATTAGGTTTACCTGCAGGCGGCAGTAATTTCCGTTGGTGGGGAGGTTTTGATGCAGCCAATTGGAAAAAAGAAAACTTTACACACTTCCCAGTTACTCTGTCACATATGCCAGATGGACAGCTGCAGGTTCTTAAACAATCCAACCCATAAGTACCATAAGGACACTCTGCAAGATAAAATATTAGAAAACAATAGACACATTACTATGCTTTAAACTTTCGCTAAATTGCAGAAGGTTTTGTTCTATGTCAGCATTTTGCAAGTCACTATGAGTCTAAAAGATTCAGCAGCATGCAAATTTGATAATTAAACAATTAAGTAGAATGTTATGAGTGCAACTCTAAATATAGTTGCCTCTGCTCTCTTTACTGAATAGGCATGTATACCATGGAATTAAATCACAGAGAGTATGGCATTTCCTTTAAGAAATATGCAGAAGATTCACAATTCCAAACATACACAATTTTTACAAAGTAATCCATTATTTCACAATTATTTTTATTTTCAGTTTATTTAGTAAACCTCACTAGATTCAACAGCATTCATTCTTGGATAGTATAAAATGTCACCTCTACATTTAAGATCTCTTTCCCTCAAAAGAGTTTTTTGTCAGAAATACGGGATTGCAATTCCTGGAACTCCTAGGGACCAATCTTCCTAGGAATTATGAGAGTTGTGTTCCAACACAAGCGGAGAATGCCAAATGAGGAAGGCTTGTCTAAGGTTTTCATCATATAATAACATGAAAATTCATTATAGCAGTACTCATATATTTATCTTCCTACATTTCCAAGACTGCAAATAAATTATCTTTGTTCCTTGAAAAATTCTATGAATATGTTCTGTTCAACTGTATTTTTTTTTTTCACATCCAAGAGGTTAATCCCAGATTTCAGCCTTTTAAAATACAAATTTGGGAGGAGTGGATAAAGTTGGCTAGGTATAAAAATTGCTCACATCAATCAGTACAAAGACTAGTGCTATTACCCACAATATTTGTCTATATTTTCTTTTCATTTGAAGGTTTGTTTGCACAGAGTGATGGTAGAACAATCCCACTCGACCTGAGACTGTATTAATATTGAAATAGCAGGGAAAAATAAATGAAGCTTGAGACAATAAACATATTCCTTGTTTTCATATGACATGTTCATGTGCAAATGCATATCATCTTCAAAAAAGATACATCCTTTCCTACAATGAGCTGGAAGGGGTTGGGTGTCATTTAATCCAATTTTTCCATGATGCCAAAAACTGTGGCTATAGCAATCTTTCCTCATCTCTAAGCAGCCACTTGCTTAAAACCCCTACAAGGAAGTATCTGTCACCTTTGAGGGGGAAAAAAGACAGCTTTTTTCATGGGTTTAAACTGTTGATACACCAAGGTAGTTTCCATAATGTTTAGCTAACACAAAAATAAGGGGCAATGACAAAGGGACATCTGTGTCATGACACACATTAAAAAGAAAAAGAGGTTCATGGTTGCCATCTTAACATTCTCTCCTCTCCCACACAGGTCCAATGGACGCCTGTGCTATTCATTTAAATATTTAAAGAAAAAAGTATTGCAATATTTACGAGAGCAATTTTTTAATAAAAAAAATCAGCTGAATGTAAATATGATTCAGACTGAGGGAGTTGGGAAAGTCTTGATAAATTATTATTTATCGAATGTATTATTATGGCCCTTGACGAACTAATTTAGCTACATTTGACTATGCTGCATTTCGACTTTGGAATGTAAGAAAGACAGAACTTTTTGCTCCACCTCAGGATCCAAAACGTATGTATTACAAAAATGTCTGTCATCCCCATTTAGTTGATTCTAGAAGTTCGATATGGCCTTCTGGAACTTCACCTTTTCTTCTAACAGATTATCCTTATTGTAGGAGTGTGAGGGGTTTTTTTTCCTCCTCAAGGCTAGAGAGCATGCCTAAAAAGCAATGATTAACCATGGCCTTTCCTTCTTACCTACAATGGTTATCTTGAATGCAGAAATAAAGACAGCCACTGGTAGATAGCAATTGATTTATTTTCTGTGTCTCTTTGCTCCCGTCTAGTGGTCACGTGGCTTTTTGCAGCTCAAACCTGACAATCCTATTGTTACTACTAGCCATGGTTTTGTTGATTTTGTTCTAGTAAAATTAAGTTATCCTTAATTGAGACTTTGCTCAATACTGGATCTTGTAAAAACAGTTATTTGATTTTATCTCTTTTATTCATTAAACATGAAACTCAGTCAACTGATCATTTAAAAATGTGTCACAAATACCATTGACTGGTGCTAATGGTTGATATGGGTTGCTGCCAGCGTCCTAGGTATCAGCCAAGTACATCATCATCATCATTATTAATTATTATTATCCTTCAGAAATCATGGGCGCTCCATCACTGGAGGTTTTTAAGAAAAAACTAGACAGCCATTTATTTAAAATAATATAAATTATCCTGCTTGAGCAGAGGGCTGGATTAGAACACCCCCAAAGTCCCTTTCAGTTCTATTTTATTCTAATATTCTAACTACTTTTAACAGCCTTGTGAGAGATTTAGGCTGGCTGTCAAAAGCATTCTTCTTGCATTGAGATTTGAATCAACATCTAAAATTGACATTTGAATCTAGATGGATCAAAAGTTTAATGGCTGCAACATGTATGGGCCTTTTCCAACATGCAAATTATTTAAACTAAACAATTCAATCAAGTTGTAGGAAAGTGTTAATTGCTTTAGTACACAGCAGTACATAACATATTAACCAACTTTTAGGTACTAATATAAGCAGGAAAGCAAGATATACTATCATCATCAACGTTGGTATTTTGAAGTTGGAAACTTGTAAAAAAAATATACAAAACATGCTATACTTTAAAGCAGGTTTATATAAGATGTAATGCAAGCTTACATCTTATATAACCAAAAATGATTATTTGAATAACAGAAATCTTTTTTTCCCCTTTGTTACTAATAGAAGAAGGACATATGGAGAAAGCCCCATGTTTGCAAGAGCTAATAATCTATTTACAGGTTATGTAAATAAATTATTTAGTTAAGACTGAACTGGATTTATCAATTTAGACAGTAGATAGAAAATTATATTCTGTCAGAGGAAAGGGGAGAGAGAAAGAATGTTCAGAATGTTTATTTTGGATAAGAGAAGCATCTCATTTTCTTATTTCCTATTGGCACTGATCTGATAGTTACATAAATTGTTCTTAACTGTCAAGAAAATATCTGTAAAGGCGTTCAAATGACTACAGTATATTTTGGAAGACTTCAGAACCTGGCAACTGAAGGATCCTTATTATCTCCCAGTGTATTTTAAAAGAGAAGGGGAATTTATCAACATTATTAATCCCCTAGTGGGAGTTTAAAATCTTCTTGGTAGCCTTGTTTACTTATTGAACAACAAAATGTGGGTTCAGAGATTGCTGTTCAGAGTTAGAAGCCCCTGAGATTTATTTTATCCATGTGCTTTTCCAGTTTTTATTTCGAATTCTGTATCCACTGGGCACCCGCCATGCTCTATCTTTATTTAGTTTGCTTTTGTAAGAATGGGATACCCCTTCTCTCTGCATGTTTGTCTTTCTTTCTTTCTTTCTTTCTTTCTTTCTTTCTTTCTTTCTTTCCTTCTTTCTTTTTTCTTTCTTCCTTCCTTCCTTCCTTCCTTTTTTCTTTCTTTCCCAAGTTAAAATAGACCAGCAATCTAAGGTGTTTCTTGGGTGACATACCACAAATGCTTTGAACACTTTTTTAAAAAAGTTCTCAAAGTTATCAAAATAGATTGATAATCAAACTAATTACTGAAGAAAATAATTCTCCAATAATTGTGTTTGGACATTAATGTTAAAAGTCGGCAGATACTTACCTGGGAGTAAACTGCATTGAATGCAGTAGGACACACTCCAAATGAACATCAGAAAAAGTAAGTTGTATTGCTATTTGTAAATAAATGATGTTACTGAAGTTATATCTGGAATAATTTGAAACTATTTATTTTGTCAGAATATTTAGCTTATCTTCTCCTTTCTTAAAAACCACCAAATCACTTCACTCACAGTACACCACTCCAACATCTAAATATGTAATATATTCACTCAAGAAGCCTGTTTGCAAAAAAAGTGTTTTCTATAAAACGACCAAGAAGTTTACTTAAGAAGTAATAACTGCAAATTTGAAGGAAAATTGAACACAGTCACCTAGAAGATATTCTCCAACAAATGTTTGCAAGATTATAGCCTCAACTAATCCAAAAGAGGCTATAGTCACTTTATTTATTTATTTATTTATTTATTTATTTATTTATTTATTTATTTATTTGCACGTATTTACCAGTCTAACAGATTCCTATAGCTATATAGACACTTTAATTTATACTAACAAAAAAAGACTGGACCATTTCAATCTCACTGAAACTCAGCAGAAACTTCTTAATCAGCTAAAGTCCCATATATCTGGACCTACACTTTTCTTTTAAAGTGTTCAAAGCATTTTTGGTACGTCACCAAAAAAAACATTTAGATTGCTGGTCTATTTTAACTTGGAAAAAAAAGAAAGAAAGAAAGAAAGAAAGAAAGAAAGAAAGAAAGAAAGAAAGAAAGAAAGAAAGAAAGAAAGAAGAAAAGGACTGCATACAAAATTACTTCAGTAGAAAGAAGAAAGTACAGAGTTGTCTACATAGCATACTTGTATACAATGTGCAGCAGGCCTTTTTTTTTAACATGGGCAGCATTTTAAAAAATGGAATCCTCCTTCTGCAGCCTAACGTAGTCCACTCTGCTTTTTACATAATATATAGGTGAAAGCTTTAGACCAGGGGTTTCCAACCTTGGCAATTTAGCAACCTTGGCAAAGCTGGCTGGGGAATTCTGGAAGTTGAAGTCCCCCAGGCTTAAAGTTGCCAACGTTGGAGACCCCTAATTTAGACGATCTGAAGAGAAACCAGAGTATATCACCATATCTATGCTTTCCTTCTAAAGCTTATATCCATGTTATTAAATGCAGGTGTTATTCTCTTGATTGCAGCACATATAAAATATACATTATATATCTCTGGGAAAGAATATTGACCTAAGCACTTTTGAAATACTTTTATAAATCTCTCAGATAATATTTGCATATTGTTTCCCTACAGGTAATAGAGTGCCAATAGAATTAAGATTAAATGCTCAACTTCTTGGGTACTTTAGGCAATTCTTTTCCAGTCTGATAAGAAGAGAAACTCTGAACCATTTTACAGCCTCTGGTAAAATGAAGATACCTTTGCTAGGTATATGAATAGCATCAATAACTATCTTTTTCAATCACGGGTTAATTATCCTACTTCAAAATATTATATATATATATATATATATATATATATATATATATATATATATATATTCTTACTTTTTCGTAGGTTTTATGCGTGTTTTTCTTTTAGCCAGGTTTTTCCTACGTAACCAAGATTTTTCTTGGTAACCAAGAAAAACCTGGTTAAAAGAAAAACATATATATATATATATTGGAGCAATAGATATATATTGGAATAATTTTCAACAGCTATACATTGACCATTAATTGTCATGATCGATAATGTTATCCAATGACCATTCTTTACCTTTGCAGATACCAAACTCATCTCCAAAATCATCTTCTTCAGAAAAAAATTGGCACTTCAGTCCGGGCCCACATTTAACACCATCCATTCCTGCAACTGTCCGGTAGCAAGTTTCTCCCAGAGCTGCAGCACACACCCTACAACAGCCACAGTCATCCAATACAGTCCGCTTACAATGCTGCGGATTTTTACATTCACTGCTGTCGCAGGACTCCGGACAATCTACTGCATACTTGGCGCTCCAGGTAGCTCTGACATTCATGGGTACCAGAAGTAGAGTGAGCACCAGAAAACCGGTCATGGCTCCTGGTGTGATGAAAGCCCAATTCCACTGTCCGCAATGACAGGTTGCAAAAGTTCAGTCAGATGTCTTCTGTTCAGGGATGCAGGAGTGAAGAACCCAATGTGGAAGTTCTGAAGATCAGCTTACAAATTTTGGAGCTTTATACAGCCTCTTGCCCACAAGGCCTGCCGTCGTCAGTTTCCTCAATCTGTCCTCTTGCCAGCCTCCCTTGTTTTACTTTGCGAAATCCAGGATGAAGTTTGGATTAGCACGCTGCTACCATCCAGGAATTGAAAAGCCTGAGCTGATGTAATCTGTTATGTTTAGTTGGCTTGTTTTCCAGTGAGGACTGAAATTTTCTCACATCCGTCTCAAGTGCTCAAGGATGTCTGCCAGAAAAGTGCACAGGAGTAAAAGGGGGTGGGGAAAGAGCGAGTAGGTTACATACCTTCTCTCAGGACAAGTGTAGTTCTCACATTGGCTCTGTATCTCTGCAAATCTTTACAAACATTTTGCACGAAAGGAACACCAAGCGTCAGGAAGAGAGATCATATATCTTAGTGTGTAGCTTCTGTCTCTATCCTTTTTCTCAACTGCAGCAGTAAACAATAGATAGTTACTTTAAAGTAGTCCTACCTCAACCTGGTGCCTCCAGATGTGTTGAAATCCCATAATCCCTAAACCAGCTAACAAGAGCAGCAGGATAGAGAAAACTGCTTTAAAGTTTGGCAACACTACTTTAAAAGCCAGAGAAAAGTATTCCTTGAAACAAAAAAGAATGACCCTGTCAATATTTAGATAGGTAGATTGCATTCAAAGACCAATGCCAAAGACAACAAAGAGAGGAGAGATGTCAGGGACCTGTGGTTTCATCTTTCCATACCTCAGATAGTTATCATTTTAGCATCTTTTAGATGATTAGCACTTTTCATACAATCCATGGATATTTATTTTGATTAGGCTGGAAGAAATCTAAATGAACCTTCCTTCAATAAATTTCCTGCCTTCCAACTTCATGCTAACAGATTTTCATGGGAGGAGATACCTAAGATTCCATTCAAGCTGTCAAAGCCAGTTCAAGAAAGGGCTCAATAAAATGCATGCAACTCTCAAAAAGAAATTGCTCAAGCAGTAAGTCCTCAGTGATTTCCAACCAGCAGTTTACATATTTTCTAGCTGTTAATCTGCAAGGTATTTCAAGGAGCTTTGAGAGTAATCATGATATGGACAAAGCAGGAGATGCAGATGAAGGAATGTGGTGATGTGGTCTTCTGGGTGCGCTTCAAGGTATTGGTTCTCACCTTTAAAGCTCTCCATGGCTTAGCACCCGGTTATTTACGAGACCACCTTCTGCCACCGATAACCTCCCACCGGCCAACTCGGTCCCACAGAGAGGGCCTCCTCAGGGTGCTGTCGGTCAAGCAATGTCGACTGACGACCCCCAGGGGGAGAACCTTCTCTGTGGGGGCACCCACCCTCTGGAACGAGCTACCCCCAGGAATACAACTAATCCCGGACCTCCGGACCTTCCGTCGAGCTTTGAAGACCTTCCTATTTCAGCAAACTGGGCTGGCTTAAAATTTTAATGGGTTATTTTAAGGGTAATGGGTTTTAATTTTTGGGAAGCCAATTTGATTTAATTCTGTTTTTAAATTATTTTAAATTTTATATTGTATGTATTTTAATTTTGGCTGTTCACCGCCCTGAGTCCTTCGGGAGAAGGGCGGTATACAAATTTAAACAATAAATAAATAAATAAATGTATCTAGAGGAATCTAAAGCAAATCACAATAAGACCACATGTATCCTAACAGCATAGCAGAAACAATATGAATTATGTGATGTCATTAAAATCATAACATTGAACATTATTTGACCCCTTGCCCATGTCATGGACACCCAGCAAGTATCCTATTTTCAGAAAAGAATCTGTCAGATGAAGGCCTCTTCTATTTGAAGGGCTGCCAACTCCAAAGTTCATTGAGGGATAACATACATAAATATTATGTATCAGTAGTCAGCAGGCAAAATCAATATCCTCATTATTAGACCTAAAGATAAATTTCTATTTAAGATAACCATGATCATATTTACCTCATGCATATATAAATTAGCACAGACAAATCTTAGATAAACTTGTCCCTGTTCACTATTTGTAGTCTAACTGAATCCATAAGTGTTTTTTTGCAAATAGTCAACTTTGTAACACAAAACCACCATTCCTGCTCATCTGCCAAAGTGGCCTGCTAGAAGTCCTCCTTGCCATAACCACAATTTCATCTATTGCTCTTCTCGTGTTCAAAATTGCCAGCTAAGATTAACAGGATGGCACTCTTCCCAGGCTAGTTTTTAACCAAGAGCAACTTGTAGAGTAAGCGCCCAGGAAAAAAAAACCCATCTGACTCATTAAATTTAAGGTTGTAGACTTGATTTTATGACAATATTTGTTTTAATAGAATCTTTTATGTCTGTATAAAAGCCAGTCAGATAGATAATAGTATTATGCATACATAAGCATTCCCTGATTGATGAACCCCTTATGTTGCGTGTGAAGGGTTTACCTTACCAATATCCACATCAATATATACACATCAAAGCAATTACTTTAGAGGACCTCCATTTTCCATTAAATACCACCTTTGACTGGATACCTTGTGGAGCATAATGTAGACATACTTAACATCAAGAACTAATTCTGCTTTTCTGTGAGTGGTTTAGGCTATTTAAGAACTAGACAGTGGAAATGAAGCTGGTCCTCTTTAAATTATTTTTAGGAGAGACTTCAGATTAATAGAATCTATAGTTTGGAAGGAATCTTGGAATCTAACTCTACCAGATGGCCTTCCATCTTCTATGTAAACTCCTTCAATGAAGGACATTCCATCACCTCCTGTTCCACATTGAAAAACAACTTTAATCATGAGGCTTTTTTTTTTTCCATAAAACATTTCTTTTTATTCAGGCTATTTATAGTTTTCAAATTAGGTGTTCGGTGGATTAAATGATTAGATGGTTGAATAGTATTGTTTTACAATACTACATTTTAACCACCCTTGAGACCCAAAATGAAAATAGGCAGATATAAATTTTTAAATCAAATACATTTTAAAAGTTATCAGTCTTAAGAGTTATACATACACATGGCCAACATGTTAATAATTTATTATGTATCATAAACTAATGAGATTTTGAGGAAATGACAACTTTTATCAAGAAAAACTTCAACACTAAAAATCCTTGATATTTACATTTTTCACAGGGTTCAAGGATTTACAGAAAGAATTAAGAGTTCCTGGTATATTGATAGTTCAGCTTCTTTGAAATTTCCACCAAAATGATGAAAATGGCTTTTTTAAAAAATGAGGAACGTTTGATACCAGCATTTCAGAGTATTTATGAATAATTGTGATCAGGCTTCAGATATTTAAATCTTTTTAGGCAAGGACAAAAGTCGTACCTTATTCCAAAATGAATTAATCTGGAAAAGAACTTCAACTTTCATTTAAACATATGTATATATATACATAGGTAAATGTTTTTCTGTGAAGTGTAATCAGATTACTCAGGCTTCGTCTGTAAATATATTTAGGAAGTACTTACTAGGCAAATCTCTAAACAATATCAGATGGGATGAAAGAGATCTCTGGCATTTTTGAATTTCCCAGAGGAACAAAATAATCCAACAAAGTAATAAAAACAGAAGTGTTAACACAAATAAGATTGTGAGAGCTTCTTGAAAAGAAAACATTTTGTAGCAAATGCCTCCAGAGCTGTCCGATACTATTGAAAATAGAAGGCAAAACAGCACGAACCAGTTAGTCACAAGTTAGGTCAAAGAACAACATGACTAAATAATGTATGGTTTATAAAGCTAGATGGAATATAGGTAGTTCTCAATTTATGACCATAAATGAGCCAGAATTTCTGCAACCAGGCAATCAAAGCCCTATTCCATTTTACATGAATCACAGTTCATGCAGGGCTTCAATTCAGGGATGAAATGCTCCCAGTTCGGTTGGCAATGGCAGCGGGTGGTTCGGAGAACCAGTAACAAAAATCCCTGCGCCCCCCCCCCACCATGCCCAGTTGAGCCGCCCAATCATCAGAGGCTTTTTTTAAATTATTTTTAAAAGCATTTTTTCTACAACCTCTTCCGATGAAAAAATGCTTTCAAAAGTTTTTAAAAAAAGCCTCTGATGATCATGCGGCTCAGCTGGGATCGTCAGAAGCTTTTCAAAGCATTTTTTTCTGCAACCTCTTGGCCGAAGAGGTGGTAAAAAAAATGCTTTGAAAAGTCTCTGACGATCCCAGCTGAGTTGCCTGATCGACAGAGAGGCATTTTTTAAAAAGCTTCTCTGATGATCGCAGCTGAGTTGCCTGATCGGCAGAGGCTTTTCAAAGCATTAGAAAAAATGCTTTGAAAAGTTAAAAAAAAAGTTGGCCACGCCCACCCAGTCACATTACGCCACCACCACGAAGCCACGCCCACAGAACCGGTAGTAACAAATTTTACATTTCACCCCTGCTTCAATTGTATAGTCATGGCTACCCCTTTGATTTTTTTATCCTTCACCCCACTCCAACAGACAACAGAAAACACTTCTAGACACCAATGCTCAATAATAAGATATAAATGAGGTTTAGGGTTGTGACCCAGCTGTTCAAACTTGCCTTATTGCAGTGAAGGCCTGAAGCTCATGACTGTATGCCCCCGGCAATCCCCTGAGATCATACCTCCAAATATCTATGTGAAGAGGTGGATGAGGAGAGGTGTGGAAGTTAGTTTATTTTTCTTTCCCTTTGTTATGGAATGAGAGGGCCACGTTTTCTGATGCTGACCTTCACGGGGAAAGGGAATTTCCCTCCTCATTCTCAATATTTCTAAATTGGCAAGAATTTTATTTATTTATTTATTTATTTATTTATTTTATTTTATTTTATTTCTATACCGCCCTTCTCCCGAAGGACTCAGGGCGGTGTACAGTCTAATTAAAAACACAAAGACAGACAAAATTTAAAAATAATTAAAATTATTAAATGATAGGCCCAATTTATAAAACCCCAAATTTAAAATCCCATTTAAAACCAATTAAAATCTTTACATTGATAGCCCAGCCTGGCGGAACAACAAGGTTTTGAGGGCACAGTGAAATACACGGAGATCAGAGATTTTACGAATTTCTGGGGGCAGTTCATTCCAAAGGGCAGGGGCTCCCACAGAGAAGGCATAAAGAATAAAGATGAAAGCACACAGTCTTCAAATCCCTTCTGAAATTTAGGGAATAAAAGTAATCTTTGCTCAGGAAGAGCTGTATCTGAGAGGAATCC